TTACCCAGGCGAAGGTCGTGACTCTCTTAGGCAAGGGTCACCTCACCCTTGACCGGCCGGAATATTTAGCTGAAATAAAAAAATAATTTAAAATTAAAATGGTCTTTGGACGAATGTGTAGCCTAAGCTATGCTAAAGAAGAAAAGTCACTAGCGCCCCTAACTCCCCTTATTCATTATTGAATGTGTAGCCTAAGCTATGCTAAAAAATTATAATTGATTCTTTTTTAATTTTTTGGTGATCTTTTTAACTAAATCAATTTTACTTAAAATTTTAGGCCAATCTTGTTTATTAGATGAATTGAACTATCTGTTACAAGTTTGAGACTAAATAGGACGTCGGTCTTTTGCCATCGTCTTTGTGAGCCTTGGCCGCCTCCTCCATGAACCGCCTCGCATGGCCATCGTCGATGGTGTCGGTTTTCAACATTCATTACATTTGTTTACACAATGTACACTCAAGCAATCAATACATTGAACAAAGTTCAAACAAATAGATCAAAGAGTGGCCTCGAGGATGGCCTTTAGAATTCACGCGCTTCAAACATCCTAAACCCCTTAAATGACTACAATTAATGGATTAATAGTTAACGATAATTGACCACCATTTGTATTCCCATGATGATGGTCAATGTTGACTAACCTCTAAATCCGGTTCTAAGTGACTCCAATTGGTCACTAGCCAAGCATGCATCGCATCTATCCATTCATCCCACAAAATGCATGCATAAGCATCAAAGTAAACATGCATTTAGGCCAAATGGCTTTCATTCTCAATCAATCACGCAAAGGGAAGTGAACCATTGAAGGGTCACTTATTCAATTATAGTTCAGATTTCAAATTGATTCTGTTTAGACCCAGTCAACCTACCGAAAAAATTCCAATTAACATGTTCAAGTGTCATTAGAGAGCTCAAGATGTGCACTTCAAAGTTAATTTAGACCCCTTGAACGTTCTAAACCGAAAAACCTGAAAATTGCAATTCAAACTTGACATTAAAATTCGACCCTATTTTAACTTGTGATTTGAAAATAGTGGGAAAATAGCAAACTAAGTCAAAAATGCGTCAAATTATACAAAGAGTTAGGAAAACGTGTCCTTTTAACAATACCCCATGAGTTTTCTGAGTAATTCAATTTTCACCCAGGACTCACTTGAGAACAGTTTTCAAAGCCACACTGATCTTATCCGACTAATTAAGAACCCAATGAACAACTTTTTAGTTTTGATTTTTTGCAAGAAAAAAAAAGGGTCTCAATTTCACCAAAATTGCAAAATACGTTTGGACATTCAAATCTGAGTGCAGAGACCAATCAGCACATTGGTCAGAACTTTGAACAACCAAACGAGTTTCAATTTTAATGTAATTGATATTATTAGAAAAATCAAAATCGTACTCACAACTTTCAAGAAGAGCACATGTCAATATTTTTAACACAAAAAATCATAAAAATCGGGGAACAAGCAAAGGTCGGTCATCAACATGTTATCACAGATTCTAAATCAGTAGTTCCAAATTTTATATTCAGATCACGAGAGTGTTTTCACTTAGAAAATGATTTTCATTTTCGACGTGCGATCTGTCAATCGAAGCTCAGGATGTTTATTTTAATTCTCTAGTTGAGCACTTTTCAAGATTTCGACATTTCCTAGCTCAAATCATCAATCGAAGTTAACTGACTCCATGAACTACGATTTCAAACAATCATCAATCAATCAACAAGCAATATTAATCAATTTCTACACAACACATGCTATTAAATCATTATTCTAAGGCCTACAACAGCAACCACAACATCAACAATGGTCATCATTACTCCACAATTACTTGGCCGATCGAACCTCGACAATCATAGACTAAGCTTAAGTGTTACATACCTTGGTTGATACACTTGCTTAGCTCAATTGAGCTATTCAACCACCAAATGAACTTCACAAAATGACCGGAAATAGCTCACCAAGGTCTGAACAAATAGAGTAAAGATGAAAGTCAGAATCAATTGAATTCGGATGATCAATCAAGGAAAATAAACAAAATGAGAAGGTTTCGGCTGCTGTTTGAGCTCCAGTCACTGCAACTTCAAGGAACATTCAAGGAGGCTGGTCGCAAGGATCGAGAGTTGGAGGAACGCTATCGGACAACCGGTTTCAAAGCTTGAAGTCACTGGGCTTGGTACCGGCGTGGAGCACGGTTGAAGACCAAGAGGAAAGTCGGCCCTATCGGTGGCCGTCCGGTGATGCTCCAGTGTGGCTGCACTTGCAACCGACTAGGAGGACCCCTGAGGAACGCCGGTGAGGTAGTGGCTCATTGGACAAAGGTCAGCGGCTAGCTGGTCGAGGTCACACCGCCGAGAGAGTATGAAAGAGAGAGAGGGTTTTTATCTAAAAGAGGCCAATCCTAAAGTTTTGGAGGTAAAAATCCTTATCATGCCAAGTTTGAAATTTAGATCACAGAGCTCCAATTGTTTGCTTTCCCATTAAGCAAACTCCTTATTCGCTCATTTTTTGTCATAAGGATTGGTGACAAGTTAAGATGGGTGGCCATGATTAGATGATAATGAATGGAGATTACTTCTTTAATGATTAATCAATGCTCCTCATTGGTCCAAATTTGCACATGGAAAAGGCTGGCTGGCCAAGGCTTGATATGGCCGGGGATGGCTGGAAATAGCTATTCATCGCCAAGTTTCCACTCTCGCCGGTCTAACCGGTTCAAGTCGGTTTGGACCGGTTCAACCGATTCTCTAGCAAAAAATTATGTGCAATTTAGTCCAATTTGCTCTATACTTGGAATTCCAGGACCTAATTGTAAATTTTTTTTATCAGTTATCAAAGAAATGAGTCAAATTAGAAGAATACAACTCAAATTCAATAATTCAACTCAATTGATCTCATTATTAACATCTCAATTGAATTAATATGCTCCAATTACATCATGGGTAATGTGAATGTCATCTCAATTGACTTGCCTCACACAAATTGGGGGTCTTTATTCAATTGATGCTATTTTTGTTCCCAATTTATTAAAATTGATTTCAATGAAAACCAATTGATTTGAAAAGCACTCAATTGATTCAATTGAATAGTCTTAAAATGCTCCAATGTACACAAATTGACCTTCACATGATGACTCGAATTAAACTCCAAAAGGACATTGAAATTTAATCATCAAATTGAACCTTTCGACCAAAAAAAAAATCGTCAAATTGAACCTCAATCAATCAAATTAACCCCTAGATTTGAATGGGTCAAGTTGAATTGCATCAATTGGATCAAGTTAACTTTACTTTGTAAGTCTTTGATTAACCAAATTAGTCAAATTGAATCAAATTTGTGTAAATTTGTCAAAATTAATATTGGATTTGAGTTGCATCTGAGAAAACAGATTCATTTGTGGTTTAATTATGCAATTCATGAAGAACCAATCGAAACCACTAATTGGGGCTCAAATTGAGGTTTTCACCTTTGGCTTGGAATCGAATATTGATCTCCTAATCAAATTTCATGAAGGAAACTATCATAAAAAAAAATAATTAGAAACGAAGTAATTTTGTTTTTGATTGATTTCGAAACGATGTTCACAAATTGAGGAAAAGTCGGTTCTTAATCGATTTTTGTAAATTGATGATGCTAAAGTCAAATTAAAGTAATTAGGAGTTGATTTAGGGGTTTTCATTTTTTTAATATTTTTGGGAAAATTATTGACCAAAAGTCAACTCTTTGGTGATTTATCACTTAAAAGTCAATTAATTGGTCAATCTTCGATTTTTTTTTAAATTGAAAGTGCAAAAATGAAATTGACGCTATTTAGGTGTTTTTTATGCAAAAAACCAAATTTGATCGAAGGTTGACTTTTGAGCCAAAGTTTGATCGAAAAATCAACTCTAAAGTCAACTTTTGACTTTTTGAAACGAAAGTGCGAATGACACATAAATGATATGATTTTTATAATTTAAATGCTAAATTAATTTTTTTGGTAAGAAATGGGTCCCATCACAATCAGGAATCCCTATTCTTAAGTTTTTTTTTACCTTTATGTGATGCGTCGGCAAAAATGTCAACAGATACCTAAAAACTTGACCTAAGTGGAGACATGCTTTTGCATGGACAATTACAATGGAATCCTAAAAATTTTCAAGAAAATGCACTTGAATCATATCAACCTTTAATACGTGCATTTAAATTATAAAATTTCTTACTGCTATCCATTTTAGTAATTCCTTTAGGTTTTAGAAAAAAGAAAATTTACGTGGCATTTTTTGGTTGTTAATGACCACTTATGATTGGAAAGATAGTAGCACAATTGCTTGGCATTTTCCATCCACTTAAACTAACAAGGTTTTTGAACAAAAAGTAAAATCTAAAGAGGTTAACGAAAAGACTCAAATGTATCAAGTTGCAAGTTTTAAAACTAAAATGTACAAAAAGAAAGTCGTTTTTTTTATGGATCTTGATAAATTTTAGGAATTGCTCTATAATTATTTTTACTTTCATATTAAGCTCGCTTGTTTCCCGAAAAATGAACGATTGAAAATTATTTTTCTAAAAATGATTGCTTGTATATCTTGAAATATCTTTATTGTCAACAACAATTTATATTTAAATATTTTCGTTGACAATGAAATTTGTTTTCATTTATTCATTTTTTTAAAGCAATACAATTAATCATTTTTAAGAAATATTTTCTAAATTATTTATTTTTTACAAAATAAGCACGCCCTAAACCTAACTTCGGACGGAAAACTACCTTCAAAGGTTGTGGACTCAACAGAGGCGTCGTTGTGACGGACCTTGTTTTTTCGGTTTACCTGGCATAACTTGTAGTAATAACATCAGCCAGAAATAGATGACCCAAAAGAGAGATTAGATCACATAGGTTCATAGCATTCGGTTTTACAAGAATTTTCTCCTTCGTTTTCTCATTTATCCCTCAGATTTTGCTGCTTCTTTCTTTCCGTTGGCGTATGATGTCTTTACAACCGACGATTATTCAGCCGAGGAAAAAAAACACTGATGCGTTCATGGATTTATACAACAGTAGATTCCAAATGGTCCACTGGCCTACTAGTATTTACCGAGCATACGGCTAGCGCAAATAGAAATTGGCCCAAAAACTCTCAAATGTAGGAGGACGACAACTGAGAAAGACATGAACTAGCATCATTCGCCTGAAACAAGAGAGAGCCCCATGGATTTTGCATGCGATAGATGTTCATTCCAGCATGTACAGGCCAAGCTCAAGAACAGGCCATATAAGTTGAGCTATGTACTTAAAACACCTGAAAGACTCACCACTGATACTTTGCAGCAACAAGGACCTCCTCGTAATTCCGAGCCGCATTGTCCCAACTGAGGTCCTGTGTCATCCCTCTTCTCTGGATTCCTTCCCAGCTCTCCTTGTACTGCCTATAGGTCAAGAAGCAGTAACCCAGCGCATTTATCAGCTTATTTGCTTCTGCACTATCAAACGTCCACCCAAGCCCCGTATTGTTGAAGGGATCAAACGGCTGAACCGTATCTCTCAGTCCACCCACAGCATGTACGACCGGTACTGTCCCATAGCTCATGGCATAAAGTTGGTTGAGCCCGCAAGGCTCAAATCTCGATGGCATAAGTAGAATGTCCGAACTGGCAGTTATCCTGTGAGCCATTTTCACCGAAAACCCAACCCAGCCCCTGATTTTATCACGGTGTTGTCCTTCAAACTGCCGAAGCATCTGTTCAAGATCTTGCCTTCCCGTTCCCAACATGACTAGCTGCACGTCCTGACCCATCAGCCATGGTACAGCCTCGGCTATTAGATCAACACCTTTCTGGTGATCCAACCTCCCAATGAAACCAAGCACAGGAACATCGGGACGGACAGGCAAACCGAGCTCCTTCTGTAATGCTTCCTTACACTGGGCCTTCCCAGTTTGGAGATTTTCCAAGGAATAGTTAGTATAACCATCTGATGTTAGGTGAACATCGTATTGTGGACTCCACTCTTTTGTATCGATCCCATTGACAATACCTCTCAGTTTCCAGTCCATCTCATTGATGATGTTGTGCAAACCCCAACCGCCTTCAGAAGTTTTGAGTTCCCAAGAATATCCACGACTCACAGTTACTACACGATCTGCTGTTTTTAGACCTGCAGCAAATATATTAAAGTGGTCCCCTCCGACAGGGTCATACATTTTAAAAAGGTCGATATAGTGTGGCGGAACACCCACATAGGAGAAATCATCCATTGGTCCCCGTCCCTAGAGAAACACCATTGTATTAAGGATCACATTTTCGTTATCAGGAATAGAACACCAGAAGTTCTCATCAACCAATCAATATACTAATACCCGATTGCTAAATATCTAGGTCGTGTAAATTAAAGCAATACAAATAGAAGAAAGCACTCATCTTCATCACCTATGAATAACACTGCAATCTTTAGATGCCGATTCTTTTTGTCAAAAAGGTACTGGAAACTCATTGAATACCTGAGTAAACCCCTGAACATGCAAACCTGCTCTATGTGACACATGAATGAACCTGGCAGTGTAGGATATGCATGACTTCAAAGCAGTTATTGCAAGTAGGCCTTCAAATCTATGACCATGTTTCCTGATCCCCATCTAAGCTCGGGTTGACTACTTTGCCTACCAAAAGACTTCACTGTCCACATGGGATGCTCAAGCCTCCACTACATTTTCATTGCACAGGCAACACAAAACAAATTAATGTTCTTTTGTTGAGGATCTCAAGGATCATGGTACCACACAGGTAGGGAACCTATGGGCTCAAACCTCAAAGTGAATTATTCACTCACTTGCGCTCGCAAACAGCAACTGATTTTTATTCATACAATTTGTATACACATGCTATGTCCTATCTTAGAACCCGAACGGAAAGCTACTGTCTCAATCAATTTGCAAATAGAGAGCTACTGTAGTACTAGTATACAAGACAAGGTGATAACACATCAGACATTAAGAGTTCAAAGTACAACAATCATGAACTTGAAGACAGACAAGCTTCAAGAAGCTACCTGGTGAGCTATGTTGTGGATCACTAGGATTGACCTTGTAAATGACATCAAACCATTGTCCCTGTAATAAGCCTTGAGGTATACTGGCAACAACGCAGTATGCCAATCATTTGCCATGAAAACCAAATTCCCATCACCATAGCAGATACCACCACAGGGGACATGCCAGGGGACCTGCAACGCACCGACAAGTGTTGATAAGGTGTCAAGTGCGCTAGTGGAAAAAAAAAAGCCACTTTATCTGCTCATATGGACTATTACTTTAGATCACCATATACGATAATAATGTGTTTTGACACCTTAATTGGCACATGACATGAAACTTGAGCTGCTTCTTGACTATTGGGAGCCAAACCAACATGATCAACAGGCATCATGTAGAAACAAGACTGGATTCTACAAATAATCATACCTCAACAGCTGCTTTGCAAAACAGCACCATTCTTTTCAAAATGTCCTGCACCGTCAAAGCTACAGCATATCAGATCACTAGTGCAGCAAAGCAATGATTGAAGATGATTTCTCAGCTACTTTTGTTTCACTGTCAGCATCTAATGATCAAGAACTACCGCAGACATAATGGGAAAGAAATCCATAAGAGGTTATGCATTATGCCAAAAGGACAGTCAGAACCATTCACCAAGCTATCAGACCATAAGGAATCAATTGATAATGGTAAGACATGATTGAAATGCTTAATGAGTAATCTTATTGAAAAATCTGCACATTAAGAAGGGAAAATCATAGCCTGTGAGTACTCAATTTAGTATCACTACAAAAGAACCCAGGGTGATAAATCCCTGGGAACACAAAATAGAGGTGCTAATTTGGTAGTCAGTGTTATAAGCATGGTAAGGTTAAATGATCATACAAAACATATGTATGTCCATCTGCAAAGACATGTTCTTCTACTTCTAGTGAAATAAGAAAAAGAACTGACCGCTCGGTTCCCTCCATAGATGTTGTTCTCAATATGACGAAACACAGGGCTGTCGATGAAAACAAAATCCACACCATCTATGTAGGCCTGGAAATATGTTACCTCATGATCCTGTAAATTACGTGGAGCATTAAAAGTGTAAAAGCCCACAGTACAAAAGAAATAAAACTCATATCAGCTAATATTCTGAAGCTGTGCAAACCTGGCCATCAACCTTGTACATTCTCCTCTCGCCTATTTGTTGGGTTTCAGCATAGTTGCCATATCGAGGTGCCACAACCTATTTAATAAATAAAAAAAAGGAAGTGTGACTATGGTTTGATTTATTTTAGATTATCTGAGATGCTACAAAGTTCCAGTAAACATGGAATAAATCTCAAAATAGTAGCCGGATGAATTTTCAGTTTATGTCCAACACGAACAATCGTTTGCAACTCATGTCTCCTCTCTTTAGTCAGGGGGAAAAAAGAAGCCACTGAGAAATGTTGGCAGTTCATTTCATACGCTATTAAAAAGATGAATATGTAGAGAAGTTTTATGCACATACAACTATGATCTGCAACAGCTACTTAACAAAGAATGCTGCACCTATTCCCAGTAAGTTACCCAAAACAGTTTTCTCCTAGTTATCAACTATTTCAAAGACATGGGAGGAATAGGGTATTGACATTACCATAACTCTATGCCCCCGACGAGCCAAAGCTTTTGGTAAAGATCCAGCCACATCTCCAAGCCCACCTACAAAATACTCTTGACATGTTAATCAAACTTTAGCATTAAATAAACACGAAAAAACATGCAATAAGCATGATATCGATTGCACTAATTCATTATATAGCTACAGACACCCCAAAGTTCTCTGCAATAATTGACACTGAAAACCAGCTTTTAGAGGAGAGAAAGCTCGGGAGGAGCTTTTTGAACTAATCGATTCAGAATTTACATGTCAACCCAATATTCCATGCATACAGTTAGCTCATAAATCTTGGGAAGCCATGGAATTTATCAAATCACACGATCTACTGTGGCAACTGACTACATTCTACTAACCTAGACTGAAATACAAATTTGCAATGCTCCAGTAATTTACTTTTGCTACTTGATACCATTAATAGTCTCCACTCTAAGAGTACCTGTTTTAGACCATGGAGCACATTCTGCAGCAACCAATATAACATTCATGACATTTGGTCCAGCCAAAGGAGGGGGTTCCATGTCCTCAGAGACTGGATCTGCTGTCTCATTATCAACATCCTGAAGGCTTGATTCCTCCAAACTTTCATCCTGTTCCACTTCTAAAGATTCAACCTCCAAGGTACTTGAAAGAAATGATGGTATCTCTCTGGACCGAACTGAATCTGAACTGATGTTGTTCAAATGTTCTGCAGAATCACCACTGGAAGGTGTCGCCTCAGAAGAAAACTGACGTCCAAGTTTTCTCTCTGCTTTATCAAGTTGTTCAGTTAGTACTCTTTCTGGTACCCCCATTGTCGAATGCGGTGGGCTCCCTGGAAAACTTTGCCCATTTGTTTCTCCAAGAACATTATCTTCAAAAGTAGTATAGTTGCTAGAAGTTGAAGCAACATCCTGATGTGAAGAACTGTTCATCCCATCTTCATATGCAGTTTCAGCCTCTGTTGCACTAATCGTGCTGTTCTTTATAGTAGAAACCAATTTTCTTCTCTCAGCAATCTTCAGATGACAACAAAGTGAAAAACAAAATTTCAGATAACAAGAAGAAAATTGGAAAAGTTACATAAATACCTTGAAGAAAGATCAACTCTATTATAATATCACCCATCTGAAGCATCAAGATTTTGTTATCACCAAAAAAGAAATCCACTTACATCTAATTAAGGTGGAACAACACCAGATTGATCCCTCACTCCTTTCGTAAAATCAATTCGTAACAGAGAACAGACAAGATAATATGTTTAAAAGGAAAAGGGATGCATCTTCTAGTTGTCAGAATTAAGTAGTTGATGAATAATTTTGGAAGATCCAGCAAAAGACCAGAAACACTCAATTGTTCCTTTAGTATATAGTCGTCATTGATGGGTTCATAGGAGTAGGAAAAATACAAAAAGATGAAAATACATGCCCTTCAAGGTTCGAAAGATAGCAGATGTAAACAACCGTTACCATTTTCTTAAAAAGTAGGAAATGGTGGCAATCATTATCTTTCCGCTACACTCGTTGAAAGAGATTCCATTCAACAAATTTCTGGAGGCACTCATTATATAAGAAATCAGCTGTGATTGAACGCCAAACTAGCAAATTTCTGCATGCCAGCTGGATAAGCTAAGATTTGCACAGTGCATAGAAATCTGCTAGTCTGGTGTAAGAACTAGACCTGAGAGATTCTCTCAATGAAGCAAGCCTACATTTAGACTACATCAGTCCAAGAAAATGACTGCTGCATATAAATAAGGAAAATCTTTTCAATGATACCCCAGATGCGCTTAGCCATCAAACTAAAATTGTAGCACAACGGAACAATGATACTGCTTGAAAATGAAGCAAACAAGCCTATTATGCAGATGAGATCATAGCTTCAAAAATGGATGGAAAAGCACGGTACAAATTATGCGACTTTGCATCCTAGAAAGCAAGGACCATATCGTGTCATCAAATTCTGCGTATCTGAAGCTAAATCGTTGAATTTGCTAGACCTGGATTGGTTTAAATTTTAGGTGCTTTTTAACAGTGAGAATAATTGAGTAGGCCCTACAATTTAACTCGAAACTTAAACATAATTTCAGCATAAAATTAAAGGAAAAGTACCAATGGGTCGCTCCTTTCTTCTTCTTCTTTGTATTGAAAATAACTGCACTTTCCGGATTCACTTTACGTTTTAGAGTTTGAAAACTTCACAAAGCTGACTTTTAATCAGTGGAATTTAAGACGAATGCCAACCAAACCGTAAAATGTTAACCGTCTTCCGAGAAGAAGTAGAAACTGGAACAGAGCGAAAGTTTCCTATCGAACAAATTACCTGATTGAGCAGGTCTCTCTGCATTGCAAGAACCCTCTTGCTCTTCTCAATGGTGGCCTCGAGCTTGTCCTCAGTTTCTACATTATCAACGCCATCGCCTTCCGCAGGCCCCCTCGCAGCCGCTCTCACACTCAAGAACCGGCCCCTGTCATGCAAACCTAACATCCTGCCACAGCAAAATGAACACTTGAGCGAGCCATCTTCAGCAGCTCGCAACCCCGACCACCCACAAGCTAAGCCCCTCAAACGAAGCAGAACCGGCGACTTCCTCGGCCGAGAGCCGAACGAACCCAATCTGGGTTGGCGCCGATTGGTACAGTAATGAAGCAGCGAGCTCTCTGCCCTGGGCTCGATGAGGAACTGCAGAGACCCAAGAGACGCCATCCGGGTGTTGGACGAAATTCCCTAGAGAAACTAACCGGCGGTTCAGGCGCTCCGGAGACGGTAACAAGAGGGTGGCTACGGAGGAAGGAGGAGTGAAGATGTCGGGGAGACCACGGCGGAGCAAACGAAGAGAGAGAAAGATCGACGGTGGATGCTGGAGGTCGCTGGAGCGGGGCCCATGGCCGATGCTGGTATTGAAATCGTGGAGTAAATACTGTGAGGTTCAGATTAGCCGACAGTTTTGGAACAGGAAGGAGATCGTCACCGGCGTTGGTTCTTGGGCTCATATCAGCCGACCACGTATCATCGTCCGTCCTTTCTTCTTTCGTTTTTGCTTTTGTTTTGGTCGTTTGCATTTCCGGCTCCGCCGACACTAATCCCTTCGCCTGCGTCCAAGTCAATCTCGTTTCTCATGTTTTTCCGACGACTGAATTTTAGCCTCGAGAAAGATTTTCTACGTTTAAAATGTGTTTTGTGCCTCCTCTTATCACGGGTCAAGTCGCGATCAATCCTTCTGGAATCTTTTCGATCAAAATTAAGGAAATGAAGGCAAAACTTGAAATGTCGTCACTTATGTGTCAAATACGATTTTATTGATTAAATATTTTCAAAGAACGATATTCGAACTTGCATGTGCGAGAGTCTTAAGTTGCACTTTTCGCTTTATTTTTGTAATCTGGTTATATACTTCATTAAAAAGGTTTAAAACATATAACTTAAGCTTTTTCCTTTTTTGGATTATTCATTTTTATGAACTATCGAAATTACGTCAACACAAAAGTTATTTCACACGTAAAAGTTGCGTCTTAAAAGGCCAAAAAAAGAACTATAACCTTCACTTTTGTTCCCCAGCTTGTTTCGAAGAAGGAAAACCAACGATGGGTGTAGCGCAGCGAGGAAAAGAAGTGTTTTCGGAAACGGAATATCACAAATGTTTTCATATTGGTACATCCACGTCACATTTACCTCAAATTAATTTTTATGTTATAGAGAAATCTCAAACTGACAAAATCGTGCAAAATTTAAGGATTTTTTTTATGATACAAAAATTAATTTGAGATACCGATATACTCGTTTAGAATTTTTGTAGTATTAATCCAAAAGATTATGCGCTAAATTTGAAGTGTGACTCTATCAAGTTCTAAAAAATATTAAATCTTGAAATAAATAGGAAGTTATTCGATGGTAATCGAAAATTGATCGCTTGACATGATTAAGATCTTGCGAAATATGGAATTTTGATTGTTATTGGTAGGTTTTAACAATATTGACCCGGTAACCCCTGAACTTTCTTTCGATAATCAATGTGGTCCTTGATTTTTTTTTATTCAATTTAATCCTTAAATTTATAAAAATCCTCTCAATGTAGTCTTTCAATTAAAAATTCTAACACCGCTAGCTGACAAGACCATAATTTCTATTAACTTGACATTAGATTTGCCATACTGGTGTCCACGTGGTTTGCGTATGGCTTCCACGTCATATCTCGTTCCCATTTTTTTGGCCCAAAAGAAAGGAAAAAGAGTTGTTGAATTGGAAAAAAGATGTGGCGATCCACCTCATTATTTTGACCTAATAAACGCTTATGTGGCAGTTCACGTTAGCGAATTTGTAAAAGTTTGGGGATTAGGCTGGTGCCAAGGAGCCTTGCTTTAGAGGAACATGGATTAGGGCAAGTGCATGTAATTACTTGGAATTGCTTATCGAACCGGCTGCATGAATGCATTTTGGTGAAAGTGAGCTCAGCATTCCCATCAAGACTAGGGGTGAGCAACCGAGTCGATTCCATTTGGGAATCGAACCCTACCGGTCTTACCTAGCCAATTCACACTGGGATCGAGATTCTCGAATAAAAAGTTTGAGCACCAGCCTAGATTGGGTCAATTCCCAGCCTTAAACATGTCGGTTCTACTTGAGACTGGCCTTGTGAGTAGAACTGGTTTTGAATCTGCCTCAAGGCCGATTCTTGGGTAGAACTAGTTTTGAACCGATTTAAAACTAAACTCTAAATCTCTCTTTAACTTTCTCTATTTTTAAGATGCGCCTTCTCATTTTGCACTCACTCTGTCTCTTAGATTTAGCCTCTCTTGCTACTCGACTCTCTCATCTTAGATCTGGCCTCTCCCTCCCTAGTCTCTTTAATGGCGTCGCTCAATCTTTCTCTCTCTCTCTCTCACTCTCTCTTGAGTCTCTCCTGACGCAAAGGGTTCAGATGCAAATGTCAATAGCCTTGCAAAAGATCCACTCATGAGTTGGATCTCTAGATGAACTAGCTGGTATTTATATGTCTGGGGAACCAACTCGGAAATCTATATTCTTCGACTAGGCTGCCGAATGATTTGAATTAATATAAATAGGAAACATTGCATGAAATCGTTAGCTTTTTGCCACACTCACTTAAGGGGATAACAACACTACAAGTGCAAAAACTTGTGTACGCCACTTACTTAAGTGCCAAAAGTTTCCGGTAAATTACTTAAGTGCCAAACTTTCTAAAAAATGATCACTTAAGTGCCAACTCCGGTCAGTTTAGCCGGAAAATCCGATATTGTATTTTTTTATTAATTTCTGAAGCCGATGTGGCTCGCTGGAGATTTAGTCAACATATATACTTCAAAACGACGTAGTTTAGCTTATTCACCCTATTTAGGTTTAATTTTATTTTAAATAATTTTATTCTTTTTCCTTTTCTTTCTTTTTTCCTTCTTTTATTTTTTTTCTTTTCTTTATTCTTCTTCTACCTTTGGCCAGTGACCGGACACCGGCCACCACCCAAAGGTAGAAGAAGAAGAAATAAAAGAAAAAAAGAAAAGAAGGAAAAAAAAGAATAAAAAATCAGAAAAAAAATATTTTAAAAATCGAAATATACACATGAAAATGCCACATAGACTGATTTTTTTTAAATCCAATTTAGATTAAAATTTTAATTATAAAAGTCACGTATTAATTTGGCCGGAATTTCTCGCCGTTGACACTTAAGTGATCGTTTTTCCTCCGATTTGGCACTTAAGTGAGCCGGCGAAAACTTTTGGCACTAAATTGAGCGCCATACACAAGTTTTGGCACTTCTAATGTTCTTCTCCCCTCACTTAAGTATTAAAGAATAAATTTGAGTTGATTTCCCTTTATACTGTCTATTCCCAATCTTGATAACCCCTTTCTCCTTCTCTTAGTAGATCGGAAAAATTGTCCAAAAAGTCATAAACCTATTATATAGCGGCCAATTCAGTCTTAAATCTTTCAATGGTACCAATTTAGTCATAAACATTGTGATGATTTGTCAATTTAGTCATAAACCTTCTAACGATTTGCCAATTTAGGAAATTACCGACATGGCGATCTAGTTAGCGTTGGCTGCCCCACATGGCACGATCGGGACTAACGTGGATAATTTTTGTAATTTTTTTTAATTTTATGAACTTTTTTTTAATTTTATTTTATTTTTCTTGTCCTTTTTCTCTCCGATAGCCATTGTTGGGCCTTGTCCGTCGGTCTCAGGAGAGGGCCACCCTCATCAGCCTTAGGTGGCCCTCGCCAGCCTAGGCATGGGCGTCCCTCGCCCAAGGACTGTCCTCGTTTGAGGCCGACAACCCCTGTCAACCATCAACGAGGCCCAGTGACGGCCAACAGAGGGACGAAGGGGAAAAGAAAAAAGAAAAGAAAAAGAAAAAATTCATAAAATTATCCTCATTAACGTCAGTCATGCCTCGTAGGACGATCAGTGCTGACTAAATCGCCACGTGAGCAATTTTCAACCAACATTGGCTAGAAGGACTAAATTAGCAAATCGTTAGAAGGTCTAGAACAAAATTGATCAATTAAAAGGTTTATGACTAAATTGACAAATTATCAAAAGGTTCGAGATTAAATTGACACAATTGAAATATTTATGATTGACCGTAGTATAATAGATTTTGGATTTTTTAGACAATTTTCCCTTGGGGAGCAGTTCTGCATTATTCTTTTTGCTACAAAGACATTGAAAGAGCTTATATAATATTTAGGGAGATGAGCGTTGCGTTGGAAATTGAGGCGCGACTTTGGTTATCGTAGTAGCCAAGCTGCCACCTTGACCACGAAGGTGGTGGCAACCAACACCCTCTTCTATTGATTGGGTAGCATATCAATCTCATGCAAACATTAGATTGACTTGTTATATCGCGTGAGCCACAAAATCAATGCCAAAAAATTGTGTTTTCAACATATGGGGATTCTCATTGGACCTCAGCCCACTGGTGTTGCATATACTAATTTCCACCGTTGTTTTTTCTTTTGTTGTTAATTTCTAAGAAGGTTATACTTAGAAGTGTGTAAAACGGACCGCCCATACCGGGAACTGTCCGGACCGGACCAAATCGACCGATTGGATCCGGTTCCCAAGAGTGTCGGTCCGATTCCCGGTTCGTAAAAGTGGAACCGATGTTCGGGCAGTTCTATTTCCGGTTCCAATGGGGAACCGGATCGACCGAACCGAATCGATTAATATACTTTTTTTTCCCTTCAAAAAAATTAGTAAAATGTGAATTAAACCCTAATAGTGAACTTCAATGACATAAATTCATTGACAAAAACTAGTAAAATGTGAACTAAACCCTAAGTGAACTTTATTAACATAAATTAATAAAATGTGAACTAAATCCTGAGAGACCGGTTTCATTGGGCCGAACCAGGAACCGATCACCCCTAGTTATACTTATCCCTAGTTGTTATGCTTGTGTTATTATTGTCGCTCGAGGAATTATTTAAGGAGTGTATCCTCTAAATTTTATTTTTAATGTCCCTTTTACTTATGTTTTGTCCAATGATGAATTTTTTGTTAGATTACAATCACATTGACAATACTAAATAATTCACTTAAAAAGTACCATGAAAAATTATTCTTATATTTGATTTTAGATAATTCTCTATGAAAACTTTTATTCGGTAGGATTTGTTTTAAACGAAAGTTATAAGAAAAAAAGAAAAAAAAAAAGTCGGAACCACACTAATTACTACACCTCTTGAAATATATAAAAACGATAATCCACGTGTCATTTAACCATTCGCCATCAACTGAACCAACGGCATTTTGCCCGCATTCGCACCTGAGCGCGCCAAAAGTAACCGTCAAAAACAGATTCAACGACTCTCCTCTCGCTCCCTCCCGCTTGCCCGCTGACCAAACCTCCTCTCTCCTTCCTTCATATAAACCGAAAGCCTTATTCACAAAAGAAACAGATCACTCTGTTTTTCCCATTCCATCTCTCGCATCTCCCAAGAACTCCACAGCGCGCACGGTTTGTTCACGAGAAAGAACGGAGATACTGTGGAGATCGGACAAGGTTGAGAGGCCGGTGAAGAAGATGGCGATGCAGTTCCAGAGCGGTCGAGATCACATCAAAGAGAAGATGGCTACCGAAGATTCTGATCTCGATAGTCGTATAGGAGACGAGGGGCTTCAAAGTCGGACTCAGGGCAACCTTCCTCCGATTCCAGAGGAGGTACTTGACTGTTCTCGATTGTTCTTGGAGCATGCATAATCTTTTCTTCGTTTTTGATGGTCGGAACTCTGTATACCTTGCTGGGGATTCAACGAGCATAGAATTGAACAAGAAGATGGGGGTAGAAAACGGAGAAGATTTGCAGATTCTTGTCATTTCTAGCAAATTTTCTTGCAATTTTATCATATGAGAGACGTTAGATAAGTGCTTTTGATCCTCCATCTAAAAACTCCATGTGTCGCATCGAGTCCATGTTATTGATAGTTGTAAAGACTTTTAGTTAGTTTGGATATAGCTGGTGCCAAAACTGTACGTGCTGAGGATTTTTACTCTATCAGGTTCAGGTTGGTGATTCTCTAGTGTACAGAATAAAAGAAACACTGGGAAAGGGATCCTCTGGACAAGTTTGTGTCGGTCAACCTGTTGGTCCTTCGGCTGCAATCGGTCAAATTGGTCTGGGAGCGGTAGAGGTAGACCTCTGAGCTCTATCTTCTCATTTTCATTCTCAAGTGCTATATTTGCGCCAGTCGCTTACATGATTAATGCGCACAATCTAGGTAGCCATAAAATTCGAGCTTAGAAAAGCCCACAAAGGACGTGAAGATGGAATCCCTCCTGAGTGGAAAGCTTATGAGTGAGACATTTCAAATTGTTGCATATTTAGCGCGCACTATATTGAGTGAATGCCTGCGTGCTGTATGTTACATCTGTGTTTGGCATGTTGAACAGTGATCTGGGTAACGATCATGGCATTTCGCTTCCACGAGTACACTACAAGGAGCAACAAAGGGACTATAATGTCATGGTATGTGCATTCCCTTAAAATCGGAGACTTTTGCATTCTCGAAGATTGATGTTGACGTGCTTACGATTTCTAGGATCTGCTTTACGTATGCAGGTCATGGATTTGCTTGGACAGAACTTACATGTCCTGATGCAAAACAGTCCAGAGTACGTTTCCTCAAGAAGTGTCTACCGTTTCTTTTCAATGTTTGGACATTTTATCAGATTCTACGCCTTCCTAATTTTCTCTCTTTTATTCTTTAATTCAGCAATCGATTGGCAGTGGTTGCTTGTGTTGCTGTTGAAGCAATTTCTATACTCGAGAAACTGCACTCTAAAGGGTAATGGCTGATTGGCTTCCGATTTCCTTTCACAGTGTGACTTTGTTCTTAATTTAATGGTCAAACAGACAATTTCAAAGACTTGTGCTTTCTGATAGCTTCTCATATTTGGGAGAAGTTTTTCTGTGGCAGCTTTTACTGTTTCGGTTTTGTTTGTAGCAACTCTGGTTCTGTCCATGTAGTAACAGAATTCGCATTCCAAAAGATTCCCCTTAATGGAGACATTAAAATCCCTGAAAGCCCAATGATATGATCTTTTTGTTCTTAGGACCGATTATGGAGATTCAATGAGTAAACAACAGTCATCTTGGGTTTGTACAATTGTATGATAACTGCCACAGATCAGTTACCTGCTAGTGCCAGGTTTGATTATGTTGTTTATTTATGCTTCTTTTCCTGACAGGTACATTCATGGGGATATCAAACCTGGTAACTTTTTGCTTGGTCCTCCGGGAACTCCTGAAGATAAAAAACTGTATCTGACCGATCTTGGATTAGGTTATGGCTGATTTGCATAATCGATTGAAAAAGAGAAAAAAAAAAAGAAAGATTCGACCATCTCATTATTCTTTTGTCATTTACGATCTTGCAGCTAGAAGATGGCTAGATAATTCCACTGGTTCACACGTTAAGTACGATCAAACTCCATCTTGTTTCAGGTGCACTGGAAATGATCTTAACCTCCTCTATTGAATCCCCCCTATGTGAAATCACTTGCGTGCACTAATTTACTGCTTACAGCAGAGGAACAACTTGGTTCGCAAGTGTACATGCTCATCTTGGCAGAACAAGTAGCAGAAGAGACGACCTGGAGTCCCTGGCTTACATGCTTGTTAAGTTTATCTCTGGTCGTTTGCCTTGGCAAGAATACAAGGTTTGCTAGAACCAGCGAAGATTATGATGTTTCTTTAGAAGCTTGTGCGTCTGTCTATCCCTTAACTGCCATGGCTGATTCAGGGTAGGGATAGCTCTCTCCTTGCTTGCAAGCAAAAGATGGCCACTCCTCCAGGAACTCTGTGTCACAATTGTCCTGAGCCTTTCCTGCGATTCGCTGAGCTCGTGTTTAGCTTGAAATTCGATGAAGAACCAAACTATACAAGATACATTTCTCTTTTCCATGGGAGCATCGGTCCAAATCTATACATCTGGCCCTTTAGTCGTCTTCATGTTGCTCAGGAGGTGCCTATTCCTCTCAGAAAATCAGTAGATGCTGGTATAAATATCTGATAGGATCTCGTCCTCTAATTGAGCCATACTTTTCTCTTTGCTGCAACATTCATTTGCCAGGTAGCAAATAAGGGAGTTCCCCTAGCTGAAGAAGATAAGCTACAAGTACGAACGGGGTTGAGTGTATCGCAATGGATTGTCAATTATGATGCGCATCTACCCATGAAGCAAAGGTAAGGACTTAACTGTTGTCAGAATTTTCTTCTGCTTTGGTACATTGACTTTTTTCTTCACTTACTTCATGGTAAATACAAATGGAGTTTTTCATCTCATCCGTCCCTTTTCTTGCAGGTTTTACACTAATGCTCATGATTTGAACCTGCCCTTAGAAGCCGAGAAGGTATGTGTAAATGGAATGTTTGTCAGTAGTGTGGCTTTTTGCTCAAATTCGTGGACCCTGATAATGGACAACGGCACTGGCTTCACTGCTCAAACTCGTTATCTTTCACCCGAATTTCTTCCCCAGGTTGCATTTCAGCAGCTCTACTTAGGACATTCTTGTACTATGTAGATCCAATAGTTCCATGTTACTATTCATTCTGATAATGCATAACGCATTCAACCAATGCATCAACCACTCAACAATGGCATTCTCGATTAGGGGGTACTTAACAGCGTTTTTCAATGTTTTAAGGAGTGGATTCAGGCACATTGGCTGAAGAGCTACCAGATCACTGCAATAGCCGGAGCAGACGATCACAGATCATATGTTGTAATGTCCAAGGGTAGGTGGATGAATGCCTAATATCAACTTCTGATGACATGGTACCATACCATTTTCACAAGTTTTTCTCAACCCATCAAATGCAGGGACCCGTTATCTGCGGCAGCATCTTGAGGTCAGTGCTACATTCCCTTTCGAGTGGATTAAGAGACAGTGGGCAGAAGGTTTCCACGTCACTGCCATGGCCTCTTCTGGGAGCAAATGGGCTGTTGTTACTTCCAATGGAGCTGGATTTTCTCACCAGGTTCATAGATACTTCCAACTTCAAGATTCCCTTTTAGTTTTGTGTGAACCTGCAAGTTCCTGATTCGTTTTCTTGTGCTAAATTAAGGTTGTAGAGATAGACTTCCAGTATCCGGCTGAAGGCATCCTTGAAAGGCAGAAGCAAGGCTATCATATCACTTCGGTCGCGGCTAGTTCGGATCAGATTGCTTTTGTCTTCAGTATTACTGGAGAAGCACCAGCAAGTGTAAAGCAAGAGACACTCCTAACGTCCAATTTCCCCGTGAGCGGAACTCAGGTGATTAATTCGGCTATTTTCAACACCATCAAATTGGTTGCATTAGCTTCGCTTCATGGAGCTTATATTCTCATTTTTGCAGGAGATGTGGGCGAGGGATTACTATATTTCTTCCATGTGCTATAGTCGAACCCTATCTTAGATTCCCAAGAATTCTACGCACATGACTGGTGCTTTCGTGGGTGACTCGTGTGATAAAGTGAGCAGCATCTCATATCTTTTTCGCCTTACTTTTAGGAGCCGAGGTTTGACAAGTCATTGGACACGGATCAATCATGTACAGAATTGTATGAGTGAATAGTTACCGCTTTCTTTAATGATTGCCTGTGGTAAAGCTTTAGACATTGTGACGTTGATCATTTTGTTCTTTCTTGTTTCTCTTTTTAAACTTCCCAAGCATATAATAAGCAACAGAGCCCGGGTATTAGAATGATGGATTATGCTTCATCACATGCAACATTTGTTTTAAACAGGTAGCATCACAGCAAAGTACATACATAAATGCATGTGCGTATTCACTGCATATTCAAAATCAACATAACCCCGGGCAGACGCACTGGCATTTTCAGTTCTTCATAGAGGACGAGTTTCAAACATGCAGAAGCAGTGTATTGTTATATTCCAAGGAGATTTTTTGACCTTGTTCACCGTTTGTGTTGCGATAACTGGCTTGTTTCTTTCGTAAGTATCCTTGCAATTTTGGTTTGAAATATGGCTGCAGTTCCAATCACATCTCTTGGGACTTTAGGTAATTATATTTCTGCCTCGTTGCTCTAAAATGAAAAGAAATTTGCTAGACATAGATATAAAATATAGATTCTCTCTTTGGAGAATGTAGGGAACCTGATCATTTAACTCCAACATCCTTCTGATTGGCCAATAAGTTGTTCTCCAACGAAGTCAAAGATCAAAAAAGAGATAACTTCCTAGTTTCATCTTCCACTTGCATTAGAATTCGATGTCTCGGTGCAATTGATAATATCTTTTGGAGCAGTAAGACATTCACGCGTGAGAATTTTGGCAGGATGCAGCAATCAAATGAGTAAATTGTCGCAATATCAATTAGCAAGACACAGTAAAACTCTCTTTTCCATGTAAAAAAACTAGACCTTGTTATTTATACAATCCTCTAGTCAGAGTACATATTTAAATTTCTTTTCACTCTGCTAATGTACAACTATAATTGTGTTTCCTAGACCTCAATCATCTCCCTAGCAGGAGTCCTCTTTGTGTTGTTGATTGAAACATCTGTAAATTCCGAAAGTATCACTCTGAATTCATCTCCTGTAAGTGTCTCTTTCTCCAGAAGCAGATCCACTATCTTGTCCATGGCCTCCCGGTTGTTCTTTATATGTGCCTTTGCGATCTCATATGCATTGTCAATGATGTTCTTGACAGATGAGTCGATGTCCTCCGCGAGCTTCTCTGACATGGAATTCCTAGATAGCATCCTCAGGACTACATCGCTGCTTTGTACTGTTGGATCGATCAACACCCATGGCCCAATTTCGGACATACCATACGTTGTTACCATCTGCATTGCAGAAAATGAGAAAAAAAAAAGTTTATCATCTATGTTTCATAGATTAGTTTATGTTTTGTTTCGAGTCAGTCAAAGAATTTCTTTTAAGCAAACCTGTCTTGCTATCTGAGTGATTTGTTGCAAGTCTCCAGCTGCGCTGGTGGTGATTTCTGGTTCTCCGAATATGACTTCCTCAGCGGCTTGGCCACCTAGACCTGCAACAATTCTAGCAAATAACTGCTGTTTGGAGATGAGGGTAGGATCTTCACCGGGCAAAAACCACGTGAGACCGCGAGCTTGGCCTCTGGGTATTAGAGTGACTTTCTGTACCGGGTCATGTCCTGGTGTCAATGTCCTGCAAAAGAGAGCATATTAAAATTGTTGAATAGACGACTAGTGAAAGGATTAGTCCTAAAAAGGTAACAAGCTCTGTTGATGTACTTACACGCAGATAGCGTGCCCGACTTCGTGATATGCGACCAACATTTTGCTCTTTCCATCCACCATCTTGGTTCCTTCCATTCCAGCCACGATGCGGTCAATCGAGTCGTCGACCTCCTTCATCGTGATCTTGTCTTTGCCTCTCCTCCCAGCAAGAATGGCGGCCTCATTCATCAGATTCGCCAAGTCAGCGCCACTGAATCCCGGCGTTCGCATGGCAATCACACCGAGAGATACATCCTTATCTAGCTTCTTATTTTTGCTGTGTACCTTCAGTATCTCTTCCCTTCCCCTTATATCTGGTAGTCCAACACTTACCTGCTCAGGCACAATGTAAGGTTTCAGTAGCCTTCGAATCAAACAAATTAATGTCAAAAGTGTTTCCAAAAGATTCAACGGATAGGTAGCCGTTTGATTTAACATGTTGTGTCCGTGCCAATTTTTTTTTCGGTTCATTAGGTTATCGAAGTTCAGTGTAACGTGGGATGACTCAAAACTGATGTGCGCGACTCAGAAACTGATATATCACAAACAAATGTCAGGATTTACCTGTCTGTCAAACCTTCCTGGCCTGAGCAAGGCAGAATCGAGGATTTCGGGACGATTCGTTGCCGCGATGACGATCACTCCACTGTTCCCGCTAAAACCATCCATCTCGGTGAGCAACTGATTCAGTGTTTGCTCTCTTTCATCATTTCCTCCTCCAATGCCAGTTCCTCTCTGCCTCCCGACAGCATCAATCTCATCAATGAAGACCAAGCAAGGCGAATTCGCCTTCGCCTTGTTGAACAGGTCTCGCACCCTCGAAGCGCCTACCCCGACAAACATCTCGATGAACTCTGAACCGGACAGCGAAAAGAAAGGGACCCCAGCTTCTCCTGCAATCGCCTTGGCCAACAAGGTCTTCCCCGTCCCTGGTGGCCCCACTAGAAGAACTCCTTTGGGGATCCTTGCCCCCACGGCCGCGAACTTCTCTAGCGTCCTTAAGAACTCCACAATCTCCTGGAAGTCCTGCTTCGCCTCATCGACCCCGGCCACGTCGTCAAATGTGATTCCTGTGTTCGGTTCCATCTGAAACTTGGCCTTGCTTCTTTTTCATAAACATGGATGAACAAGTGAGATTTATAAAAAATTGTATCAAGACGTTTAAACTGATAAAGAGTGCTTACAAAGTTCGCAGGAATCAATTTTCTCAACAAATATCGTACTAGTATTACCGACTTGAGTCAATACATATAAAGTTAGCTAGGATTTTGCTGATTTTTCATACCTTCCAAGTCCGAAGGGCAAATTGGGTCCTGCAGGACTGTTTGAAGACGAGCTCCTCAACAGCAAACTCCCTAGGAGTATCATCGGGAAAGCCAAGTTCCCTAACAGATCAAGGATCGCTGGCCACGTGCTGACCTCCATAGGTTGTGTTGCGGAAGCCAAGCGATCGAATAATAAAATTGATAGAATAAGAAAATAAATCGGACACCAGATTTACGTGGTTCGGTCGTAGTGACCTACGTCCACGGGGAGAGCAGCACGGAATTCCACTATAGATCAAGCGATACAACGGAGATTACAACTACACTCGAGTCACTCAAACACTCTAAGTATTTCCCAAGCCCCAATTACACCCAATAACTCACGTAGTGTTTAGCCCCACGATTCCTCACGAAATAATCTCTCAATCTCGCAAAAGAATTGTACACAAATCTTAACACAAGATTTAATCGCTACGAACACTTGAGTTCTTGGTGTAATTCCGCGAACAAAATCCCAGTGAGATAAACCCACGCCAAGCACTCGACGTCAACCGCGGCGCTTCAAGACTTCTCTTCACTGGACATGGACGACACAAAGACCAGCTCTGCACGCATCAACAATGGCCACGGCACACAAGCACTCATGGAAAGGCGCTTCAGGACAAGAAGTCCAACTTCAACAGGAAACATATATATCAGGAAGTCCCATGTTGGTCAACAAAAGAAGTCCACGCAGATTAGGATCAGGAAACAAATCCAGCCATGCTTTTCTTTCCTTTTATTTTATTTCCTCTTTCCACTTCTGGCCGTGAATTCCACAAGAATTAGGAAAGTATAATATTCTTTCTTTCTTCTAACACATTGACCGAGTCAAAGTTCAACATAAAATTCATGTGGACTTTCCAATTTGAGAACAAGGACTCCAATGTGCATTAGGAAAGTGAATTTCAAATATTTCCTTTTTTCTCGGTTTTGAAGATCCGCAAAATATCCAATTCGGAATATTTAGATTTCGCTTTGGGCTCAAACTCGAGACATATTTTTAACAGGTTGAGCTGCGAAGTCCACGTTCTTGTCCTTCATCTTCCTGAGCAGCTCCTGGGGGAGCCCCGGCAGCTGAACCTTCACCCTTTGGACCTTGTCCAGGGCGGGGTCGAAGATCTCCGTAATCGCGACGGTCCCATTCTCGAACAAGTCCACCTTCCTCACCGCACCTTCGTCCAAGTACTGCAAGAACGTGGTGTAGGACATCCTGCTCGAGGCGGACTCGATCGGGCTCTGGGGCTCCGCTCTTGCAGGCCCAAGAACAGAAGTTCCTAGCCCTAGACCCGTCGAAGCAGCAGCTGCGAACAGCTTCCTCCTGCCGACGATAGTGTCGGAAGGAGATTTCTGACATGGGTTTCGGCTCGTGGAGCTGACCCGGGGATGCTGGCTCGCCTTGGGGATGCCGTCTTGGGATTTGCACAGAGGTAGGCGAGAGAGAGACAGGGACAGAGCAGGCGACATTCTCTTCTGTCGAACTTCAGATCAGCTGAGAGCAAGCTTTTCGTGTTCTTCTTCGGAACTCGAAACCTTTGAACAAGAGTCAAGTGACAATTGGGTGAGATCACATGCGATTAGCTCTGTATGTATAAATAGGTTGAGCAACGCTGGAGATGTTTCCAGCACTTAAAAACTTGGATTCTTCTTCTTCTTCTTCTTCAGGGCATGTTTTGTTTCCTAGTTTTCGTTTTCGTTCTCGTTCGGGAAGTGCCTGGAAGATTGACTTAGCCTCTGGAAGTTATTGAATGAAAATGTCGTTTGATTTGACAAATTTTCGTGACTTGAGCTGTCGAGGAGTCCTGTGGAGATAAATGGGGCGAATGGGGGACACAAGAAGACATGGGGAGAGATATCTTTTTTCTCCTCACGAACTCGAACCGTACACTTGGAAAAGCAGAAGTGGCGGATTGACACTTCTCTTTTGGATCCTCTTTATCAGGTTCAGAGCATATGCCAGATGGGCCTGTGCCACGTAATGTGCCCATATCGTGGCTTAACTTTCGTTACTCCAAATTATTAAGGACCGCAAACATTTTACCATTTTTGTGTTTTGTAAGAATAATGTATTTGGACTTTCTAAACTCAATTAATCTTTATGAGTACAATTAAACCATGCGATCCATGTCTATCGCAGAAGACTCTACCCGCAAGCTGCGGATGTAGTACCCAAAACAACTTTGGATAAGAGAGTCGTGATTCAAATATAAAATTTTAGTATCCTGATCAAACACTTTTGGTAAACACTCAATCATTATGTCTGTTTAATTGCAATGTATTTTTCATTTTCAAAAAAAGATGTTTAGTACACTAACAATGGAAAAATCTACTTTAGGAATTATGCTCTAATCTTTTTTTTCTTCTGTGAATTGAAAGGCGAGGAGAGGGGAACGATGCAACTACTCCCTCTTCCCATTATCATAAACGGTTCCACACACCTGCAATGGAATGTTCATCGAAGGAGCATTGGGCTATTATTTTCATTCAAACGTTCTACACATCGGTTGATTAACATGATATAATATGATATTAGAAGAGCGAGCAAAACATTGTTCGGTGGTTGAGCCGCGCCAACAGAAAGCTTCTTCTCCACAAAGTAGACAAAGAAACCTAATCATCCAACTTGGACATAACAAATGTACAAGAATAGTACATGGATGTTAATTGCGTAAATTATTAATTTACTTACACTTTGATGTATTAGTTAACAAAACTAATTGGCCCATGAAATTGTTCTTCTGATTTTTCATTTGGTAGTCAGCTATAATGGGAAATAAATTATTTTTATCAAGTGACAAACAATCGTAAAAGAAAATTCTAAAGGCCATGTCTGTTTTCTCGAGTAAAAAGAGTAAAATGGGTAAAATGGAGTTCTGTGATTTGAGCCACATCATATTAAACTGTAAAGGTCTATTTACCTCCTTACATTTGTTGGACAAACATAACTTTATTTTCCCCACACTCTATCTAATATTAATGCATTTAAGACTATATATTGTAACATCAAAGTAATATGAATGTAATTTGACATGGTAGTCAATAAAGCTGAATTCACCTCAGTATTCCATTTATCAGAAAATGTATCATTAATTTATCAAATTAATTATGATAAGAAAAAGTCTTAATTATACTTATATGTTACTTTACATGAATTCTTTTAGTAATTTTGTCAATCGAAAAAGCAATATTAGTAAAACAAATAATAATTTGCAATTCGGTATTACACTGGGTCTAGTCCCCAATGAGATGGGAGAGCAGCAGCAAGCCAAACACACTCGCGGTTGGATCAAGTGGTAAAACATAATTTAAAAGATATTTTCAACAGGAAAGAGTTTTCAATTTATCTAAAATCCTAATTGTAAAGGATGATAATGTATTTTTTTAAGAAATATCTGTTAATTATACATATCGCATTGCATTAAGATTAATGCATTTGAAAAGGCTAGGGGAAAAAACCAATAAACCTCTCGCTACCTGTCAAGGCTGCAGCAATTATTATTTGGGAAAATAAGTGATTTGCATAATAAATCAAATAGGATAATTAAATTAGATATTCTATCACCCTAGAACAGACTAAATAAACAAGGACAGACTAAATAAACAAGTACCATATCATCCTTTAAAAGTAATACATACGTCTGACTTTTTTTTTTTTTTTTGTCTTGTCATATTCTAACTATCAACTCACTCTCCCTTCTTGCAGAGCGTGGGAGTTGAACCTGCAATATGTGTGCTGTTTAGGGAAAAAAAATAAAGAAATTAGAAACCATGCAGCACAAACGAATTTTTTAATTTGGGTGAAAAGTGTGTCTAGTCTAGCCAAAAAAAATGGAAAAGGAAAAACAAATTTTGGATGAGCCCCATCATTTGCCTACGTGCTAGCAAGCTGATGAAGCACTATGCTAGGAAAATGAAATATCTTGAGCTGCATGGATTTTTACTTTTGACTTTTTCATAATCTAAATTTTACAACGCATAAGTTTCGACATTAAAATTCGACAGCAAAATTTAACGGAAACTTACGCGGGGTAAATTTATCACAGGTGTATGTAAAAAAAAATGATTTGGGATAAATTTGTTACAAGTGTATTAGTTTAAGACTTTTTGTGATATTAACCCTAAAGATTAATACGCAAATACGTATCGTTCATACTTTTTTGAGGTTTGAATTATTAAACCGGGCGAAGAAGCCCAATGGAGCGCTTCATATGGCAAATGCCCAACTGGAACCCCAAAAGTATCGACGTCTCTTTGCTCTCTCTGTTCTGACATTAGGCCCAACCCAAATGCATGCATGGTTCCCCTCCCGAAACCGACCCCCAGCACCATCTTCCCGGCAAAGATCCTCAACTGCAATTCAAATTTCGCCTCCATAAAGCACAAGCTGATCGCATTCTTGAACCTCTCTTCTTCCGCCAAGCACATCGCTCAGATCCACGCCCAGGTACTGGCCTCTGGCCTCCTCGGCGACGTCTTTCTCGCCCGCGAACTCGTCCGGCTCTGCTCTCTGCCTCCCTCCACCAAATGCCTGAGCTACGCTCGGCTACTGGTCGAGCACGCGGAGATGTCGGCGCCCTCGTCGTGGAACATCCTGATCAGGGGTTTCGCGTCGAGTGATTCGTCGAGGGACGCGTTGCGGGTGTATCTTGGAATGCGGCGTGGTGGGATTAGTCCCAACGAGCACACTTTCCCTTTCGTCTTGAAGTCGTGCGCGGCTCTCGCGGTGCTGCGCCAGGGCAGGCAAGTTCATGGCGAGGTTTGTAAGTTTGGTGTGGAGAGTAACGTTTATGTTCAGAATGCTTTGATTAGCTTTTACGGATCCTGCAAGAAGATCTCGAACGCATGTAAGGTGTTTGATGGAATGTCCATGAGAACAGTCGTTTCTTGGAATGCTGTTCTGACTGCCTGCATCGAGAATTCGCGTTTGGCTGATGGGATTGGATACTTTGTGGAGATGAGGAACTGCGGATTTGAGCCAGATGAGACCACAATGGTGGTTGTGCTCTCTGCTTGTGTCGAGCTGGGCAACTTGAGCTTGGGCAAATGGGTCCATTCCCAAGTGATTGAAAGAGGCATGGTTTTGAACTGCCAGTTGGGTACTGCCCTTGTTGACATGTATGCAAAGTGCGGCGCTGTTTGGTGCGCTAGTTTCGTTTTTGACCGAATGGGAGCGAGAAATGTGTGGACTTGGAGTGCAATGATCCTGGGGCTAGCCCAACATGGCTTTGCTAATGAAGCCCTCCGGCTCTTTTCGAACATGATGGAGAGTACATCTGTACGCCCGAACTATGTGACCTTCCTTGGAGTTCTCTGTGCCTGTAGCCATGCGGGACTGGTGGATGAGGGATATAAGTACTTCCACGAAATGCAGTATGTTCATGGGATTAAACCAATGATGGTACATTATGGTGCTATGGCAGATATTCTGGGTCGTGCTGGGCGTCTCGGAGAGGCTTATTCTTTTATAACAAGGATGCCAATTGAGGCTGACTCAGTAGTATGGAGGACATTGCTCAGTGCAAGCAGCATTCACGACGTTGAGGACAAAAGTGGGCTGGGCAGTGAAGTTCAGAAGAGGCTGCTTGAATTGGAGCCGAGACGGGGCGGGAATTTCATTATGGTTGCAAACATGTATGCTGAGGCTGGGATGTGGGAAAAAGCGGCAAAAACAAGGAGAGACATGAAGAACAAAGGGGTAAAGAAGATAGCTGGGGAGAGTTGTGTCGAGTTAGGCGGCTCTGTTTATAAGTTCTATTCTGGGAATGATTCTCGGGATGGTTATGAAGATACTTTTCATATGCTTGATGATCTAAGCCTGCACATGAAAATGGTCAATGAATGGTAACTTTAGTTGCCTTCTCAGCTAGCCAATGGAAGTCATCTATAAACTCTATTTCCATTGTCCTGTTTGTTGGAAATATGGGATAAATTAATGGGTGAATGAATGAGAAATTGATGCTCAAAGAACACCCTTGAGTTGGAAGTGGGAAGTGGAAAAATACTATTCCCACATCGGAAATGAAAGAAGGCTATGGAATGCTTTATATACAGTTACACTTATTTGAAGTGGTAATTATCATAGCACAAACTCTCTGCCTCGCGCGCAGGCGCAGGGGGGGTGCAAATCCGACGCCCGACAAGTTGAAACTTGGGCGCGAGCGCACATCCCGCGTACCGAAAAGTGGGCCTGCAGAATTAATCGGCCGTTATTATTCCCGAATTGCTCTCCCCTCTGTTCCTTTTTATCGAAATCATTCTTCCTCTGGTTTTAAAAACTCTCTCTGCATTTTGCACTGTTGATAAGTACAAAGCCAGACTTGTGATCAAAGGATACAAACAACGAGAAGGCTTAGATTACTTCGATACTTATTCTCCTGTGACGAGAATAACTTCCATTAGGATGATACTTGCAATTGCAGCATTGCGAAATCTCGAAGTACATCAAATGGATGTAAAAACAGCTTTCCTAAATGGTGATTTGGATGAAGAAATCTACATGGAACAACCTGAGGGTTTTATAGTTCCAGGACAAGAAAGGAAAGTCTGTAAATTGGTGAAATCATTGTATGGCCTAAAACAAGCACCAAAGCAGTGGCATGAAAAGTTTGATAATGCAATGATTACCAATGGTTTTAAGATCAATGAATGTGATAAATGTGTCTACATTAAAGAGACAACAAATGGCTATGTCATTTTGTGTCTTTACGTAGATGACATATTAATTGTTGGTAGTGATGATAAAATGATCAAATCTACCAAGTATATGTTGAATTCAAGATTTGACATGAAAGATAT